GAAAATCTTCCTTGAAGGTCTGTGATACTGGCGAACAGAGGATTTACATTGCATTAACGCCATAAGATAAACACAATCCGGTACGTGTTCAACATTACTGGTAACTAACTGCAAACCTTTATCTATGTTTTGATTTCTAATTTTATTCAAGCAGTACTGCATTTATTTATTATAATATTTAGATACATCTTAATTTCCGATCAATGACAATAATTACATGTTTTAATTTTTACTTTTACAATTGTAATATTATTCTTCGTGATGATTTAACTCCAGTCCCCGTTAAAACATTATTAACATTTTGCTTTCAAATTACTTCAAAACATCTTTCAAAATATAACTTACCAGTATGGATGCACACTTTTAAAATAATTCTACTTTAATTAAACTTAGGAGATAATATAATCAATTAATCAATACTGTTTAGGAAATAAATTATTATTAACTAACTTTGCAGCAATTGCGCAAGTAATAATAACTTGTATTCGCACTAAATGGATTTAAGTTCATACAACATTTAATATTATTTTGATATTCCCCTTTCGCATCATTATAAGTTGAAAAAGAAATGCAAAGAAGAGAGGAGTTTTTAAAATTTAAATTCTTTTCGAGTTAAATTTAAATTTCTTCAACAATAAGAATTATTTTAGCGATAGCTATTACTTTTATTTAAAAGAGAAGTAAAATATTTATATGGTTTTCAGACCTTTTTTTTTTTTTTTAAGTATTATTATTTTTTTATATAGATTTAAAAAAAAAATATTAAAGTACATTAAACTAGTCTTCTTTGAGGTGCTAGATTTTAAGCTTAAGTTTTTATATATCAAGACCTTTTACTCGTTAATTAACGGTAGATATTAATTTCAGCATCAAATAACAAAACAGTAAAGGTCACATTCTGATAATCCTGAAAACAACGCACAGTTAGCTAGCAGCATACCACTGTGTTTTTCCCACGACGGCGCACCCATAACGCAGCAACTGACGCATCGTTGCTATGACAACTCCTCCGGATATTTCCCGGCAATGATTGGCGGTGCCTCGGACGCTGATCCACGTCTGATTGCTCCGTTATCCTTCTTTACTCCGCCCTCTGCCTAACATCCTTCTCCTCCGAACGCAATTACCAGTTACTGCATTCCATCCTCTCTGAAGGCACAGTAATGAGTTAATGATGTATGTAGTGTGTGGTGTAAATGTGTCAGGTGTTTTAGTCTCAGCTTTCTCTGCATCAAACAGGATCTATGTAAAGATTTTTTTTTTCGTGTTTTTGTCTGTTTGTTGTAAAAGGATCTTAGAGTAATTACATGATTCCTCAGTGCCAGAGGACATCCTGTTAGACAGAAATTATTTATAAATAAAAAAGTCAATAAGGTGAAGTGTAATACAGCTAAACGAATGACTTATCGTAGAATAAAGAGACATTAAATAGATGAACTAGTGTTACTTACCCCACTTTGGCTCTGATGCACGAAGTAATAGGGCAAAGAAAAGTTAGCGGATTCCGAAAGCCGCTTTAATTGAAATCTCGAATAAGTAACCCATGTTTACAATTCGGTGACGCCAATAACTTCATTGAGATGATTGCTTTTCTGTAATCTAGAGAGATAAATATTTTCATAAAAGATGTATTTTTATAAACTTTATTATTTTTAATAAGATATTTTTCAAATTTTTCATAAAATTATCATAACTTTGAGCTTTCTACTTTCCATTTCAGCATCACGTTACATTTACAATGCCACATTAATGTAAAATGAGCAATACCCTCGCCGGGATTCTAACCTGGACTTCTCGAATACGCGCCGAGTGTGCTAACTGTTACACCACGAAAGCATGCTAGAAGGAGGAAGAAAATATTTTCGAATCTTATTCTTATGTTTCAAATTGTAACAGTAAATTATTTGTTAATGTTACAGGCCGAGATATTTAAAAACAAGTAAAACATCTGCTATTTTTTTTATCTTAATCCTTTTCGGAACCTATCTAATTAAATATGCTTCTATAATTTCTAATACATCTATTTTCCCATCTTTAACAAAATATACCCCATGACTGTAATATAAAAGACTTTCTTGATACCATAGATGATGGTCTAGAAGTAACACGGTGATCCAGAAGTCACGCCCATTAAACTTTCAAAAATTGAGGGAAAACCAAAATGGATATTAATAACAAATTGCTTCAATGGAAAACTCCCTAATCTGTTAAAAGCAATTATACTGTTTTAGAAGTTTATGTCTCTAGTTTTAAAAGCTCTTTGTTTAGTGCAAAGATAAAGTTGATCCCAAGTAAAGCAAATTTTTATCATCAAGCATTGCTGCGAGATGTATGAATTTGATTGCGATATCATCGTTCTCAAATTTTTTGTTGCCAGTTGCAGTATTTTATCCCTGACTTCGTCTGTTTTGTTCGAACTCAGAACAGATGGGCCTCATTTCTTATGATGAATGCTTCCAGTTTCTCGAAATCAGGTTAAAAGCGGAACAAGGTCATTTTAAGAGATTGAAGCACTTCTGCATATTAAGGAGTTTCGAAACAATGCTCAATCATAGAAATGTATTCTAATATGGAAAAATTTTCCATCGTGTACCAAGCAAGCGGATTTTAAAGCTAACACCATGAACTCAAACTGAATTTTGAAGTGTTATAGAGTTTGTATAAAGGTATTACCCAATTAAATAATTTTCCATTGATATCCGTGCTGGTGTTTCAGCAATTTTTGACCGTTTGATGTGAATGAATTGAGAATTTCTCTGTGTATTCCGCTCTGGAAACGTTCGCATTATACCACTTCGCTTTTCCAAAAGATTTTGCACATTAATCGAAAGAAATAGGAACAAAATTTTCGGTTTCGCAAAAAAAAGGTGGGGGAATAAAAAATCTGAAAGATTTCTGAGTTTAACGGTCGCCTTAAAATGGTTTGTTAAGGATTTTTACGCTTTCACTGCTCTGACTGTGTACTCCACCAGTCTGCAGTAGCACTCACTCCTCCTAGCTTTTTCTTAATATTTTTAGTTTTATTATTAAGCATCGTTTTCTTCGCACTTACCCCATGTACAATTCAACAGCAAAATTATAAAAATTTTTAAAGTTTTTTTTTTTTTTTTTTTGTAATGTTGATGGAAATACGCAATAAGATCATATATGATTGCTTAAAGCACTGCCTTGAAAAATTCTGCTGTGAAAATGTTTGCATCATTTTTTACTTCCTTGTACGAAGTAAAAAAGGAAGTATTGTAATAGCATAAAAAGTTTTAGGCATGCATATTTCAACGAAAATATCCATTTTGACCGCTATCGAAATGCAATTTGAACGATTGTTTTTGCGTGATATCTTGTACGTAAGGAATAGAATAAAATACTCTTTTCCTTCAAAAAAATTATAAAACTGCTTTAAAATGAATTCTGAAGAGAATGTTTCGTGGCGTCTGCGTACGAACGTACGTACGTACGTGCGTACGTACGTACGTATCTCGCATAACTCAAAAACGAGTAGCCTCAGAACGTTGAAATTTTGTTTATAGGACTGCTATAACATGTAGATGTGCACCTCGTATTTTGGTTGCAATCGGCCGCACCAAACGTATATAAATATATTTATATATATATCCCCTCTGTTACCCGGCTCAGTGATCTCAGTTTCTTTACTCTTATATGTTTGTAAATTATACATTTTTTGCTTTAAAAATGATTGCATTATGTTGTTCTTATCTTCGGGTTAAGGTTTTTATGCCTTTCGTAATTCTGGAAGCAATATTTGTACAATTATGAACAATTTAAAAGCTGTTTAAATGCCGTTAAGTTTTAAATAACATGGCGGACATATTTGTTTACATTTGAAACAGCAGGATTGTAGATTTGTTGCCAATCTAGAAGGACTAAGCTTCGCAACACAAAAATAACGCCTTCATTTATTATTGCGAATTAAATTATGCTTAATCCTTTCTGGAATTTCTTCGAGGAAATAAGTGTTTAAGATTTACTTCGTAATTTTTAATGCAGATATTTTGCGTTTTTATGTATTTTTGCCTTGTCACGAAGTGAGAACTGAATTAATGGAATGAGAAATACTGAATCGTCTGTGAAAAACTGTTTCTTTTCTGTTTTGTTTGCTTTTTTATTTCGTTTCATACATCGTTTTTAGCTTTATTATGTATTTGAATAGAACATGTGGTACCGATAATTCTTCAAATGATATAAATTTTGTGCATTCAGAGTGTCCTTATAGTAAACAAATATGGTGAATTTTAAAGAGTACATTTATTTTATTGTGGTTTATGCGCTGTCGACGAAGTAGATTTAATTCAATCCAATCAATTTAAATGAAATTCAACAAAAAAAATGCGTATAATTTAATATTCCGTACAAGGAAGTCATGTGGTGTACACATCAGATTTTTTATCCATAGGATTTCCGAATCGAAATTTATTTTAAATTAAATATTAAGACAGTTCTAGTATATTTTTAGTTGAATAAAAACAACATACAGAAGTAAAAGTAAGTAAATATTTTTACAAGTGGTGTGTTTGGTGTATTTAATTATGGCAAAGCACACTAGGGCTATCTGCCTAAGGGGGAGAGATGCCTTCGTGGAGGACTTTCTAAGCGAAACTGGCTCATATACACGTTTTACAAGTGGGTAATGCTATAAATGGAAACTTAAGAAGCAAGTATTTTCAGTCGGCTGCTCTCAAGTGGAAGTAAATTTGAAAGTGACGATGTTTTTGGCGAAGTAAAATAATACAGTAATAAAATACAAATTTTCGTCTGACATATTTCTATTATTTTCACACAGCTTTTCTATTCGACAACTAACAAATTGATTTCACTTAAAAATTATCATTTTATCTTAAGTTGACTTATTCCTTCTTCATCTTTTTTTTTTTTTTTTTTCTTTTCTTGATGTCAGTCGAATGTTTTGATTCAGATTATTTTTTTAAATGAAAATTATGTGTTCTGTATTGCATCAGTAACCCCTTTCTATATTCATTCTTTAGATCCCGAGCAATGGAGCGAGGAGCACATATCCCAATGGTTGAGGTGGATCGAAAAGCAGTTCCCCATAGTGCTAGTAGAGCGAAAATTGGTACCACACGACGGTCCGACTTTATGTAGGCTCACAATTGATGACTTTCGTAAAATCACCGGAGATCGAAAGTCGGCTGAAGTACTTAGCACTCACTTAGCACACCTCAGACAAGGTAAAGATACTGCCATTCCAATAATATATATAACTGATACTTAACTATAAATACTCTAAGCTGGACATGAAAAAAACATCTTTCTTATTACGTGTCAACCAAATTAAAATTCCTTTAATTCAAAACCACAAAATAATTCTAAATCTCTTGTTGTTGCTAATGCTTATTTGTCTCACCTATAATCAGCCCAAGTCCACGAAATCTTCGTGGCAAGGGGCGCACTTTTAAGCCTGCCGTTGGCAACAGCCTTCAGCACCTTACACGTGACAGTGCGATATAGCTCAGTTCTGCCCCCCAATTTTGACGAATAGCACCCCCGGGGGACAGGTCTGAGGGTATCCCACCCCTCTTCCCCTACCAACAACCTCTCGAGAGGATTTTCGGCTTGCCGAATGTTTAGAGTGCCCCCATGCCGCACACACACTATACATTTACAAACATTCACGCCTTCTTCTAGATTCGAACCCGGGTCCTTCGACACGGCAGTCAGCGACGCTAACCACCATACTAGTTGAGATACTCTAAATCTGTAATTTGTAGTTTTGAAATTAAGCAACATGTATTATGTTTCTGATAATTTACGCTTGTTATAATTTTAGACATTAGATTAACCAAATGTTAAGCGAAGCACCTTCTCTTCCCCATGCTAAAGTTACTATTTATGCACATTTTTTCAGAAGACAATATAAAATATTTCAGGCATATAAAATATTTGAGAGTTAAATTGGTATGTTTTACAAATTTTAACAAACCTAGCTTCTACTTGAGAATTTTAATTAAATAAATTTTTGTGAAGGTCGTTATTAAAATTGAAATTTTCCTCACATATAGTTCATAAAACAATCATATCTCAATGAATCATTTCTTAAAATGTTTAACATTATAAACCAATTATGTCTAAATTTCAAATCATTATGTTTGAGAAATAATGAAAAAAAATAATCTGAAAAAAAATCGAGGTAGTTTAAAGATTATCCCGACACTTTTGTGTAATACTCTTAATAACAGTTTGATAAAACCTTTATTCTTTTGTTTGGCACATTTATATACAGCGAAAGCCAGAGTAGCTTTCAATTCTATACAAAGCAGGATTTTTTTTCCTGCATTAAAACAAGCATAAAAAATTTCGAATTTTATTGCCGTGCGAGTGACAGAAAAATTTTCCGCATATAAGAGCTGTTTCATAATATTATTCTCAGATTAATTAAGATTTGGGTTTTCTCTTAAATATATTAATTTTTTCCAGTTTTGTAAAGTCTCTGAAAAATAGGTGTGACTTCTAAATATCTACTGTTTACTACTGTATTTTTTTCACTTCATTAAAAAGACATCTCATTCTTATACACTTTAGTCTCACTTTTCAAAATCTGCCTTCCTGTATTTTTGAAGATTAAAAAATTTTTAAAAAAACTTGTGATTATAAATTGGCTAAATATTTGCATATTTGACTACAACGAATTTTTGATTTATTAAAAATTTTACTGATGTTAGGAACTTACACAACTCCACCCACGACAACACTGCAATTAGCAAAAAATGTATTAATTCATATTTTGATTTAAGTCTGGAATATTCTTCGAAATTAACATATGGTTGGCAATACCTAAAACTTTTTCTTATGAACAATTTGTTTTGATCTCAATATATGGTAAATATCTGGCTGGTGGAAGTAGAAACTCAGTATGCTGCAAAACAGTTTCCTTCGTTTATGACTTTTGCCTTTGCTGCATAAAACACAAAAAATCCCCAGTTTTAAATCATACAGATTTGCAATAGATTTCAGTCTTTTCTGTACTAAAAAACTAATATTTATTTCAGAAGTATCACAAACAGTTTGCAGTTCAGACGCAAGATTAGTTTCTCCTCCATCTCATAAAGATATAAATGTTTTCTTTACAGTTGTTAATTTAATTATCATTAAATTGAATTTTATCTGACTGTGTCTTATCAGTCTCAGTATCCTGAATTGTATTCTCGGCTCGCTATCAATAATGAGTTATTAAATATTACCTTTCTAGTCTGCGGCATTCTAAAAATCTTCTTCCCAATGATTATTTACGAACTTTAAATAGTAAAATATACAGCAATCAAACAGTTACTAATGTTGCAAAGCAACATAACGGCAGTAAAAACAGAACCAAATAAAATTGAGTGCAGTTATGTAGATGAAACACGTTATGCATTAAAGATTGTCAAAAGATCATTGTAGATTATAAAAAGAAGCGGAAGGCGGATAAATGATTCGTTTTCATTGAAAAGCTATTTGACAGTTTTGAAGTATTCGTGAAAATCAAACTATTTTGAAAATTCTGATTCAAAAGAAAAACATTTTGCACAATTATATACAATAATAAAATAAAAACCGATAATTGAAAAAATGTAGTTTTTTTTACCAAGTAGTTATTAAATGAAATTGAAAAAAAAATGTTTTCCTTCTAATAAGACTTCAAAATGAATATAATGTTTACTTTAATAAGTAAACTAATTCTTTACGCAAAAAATGTAAAAAACATTTACAAAATTCTAGGTTATGTCGACCTGAAAAAAGGTAAAGTTCGTAGCTGACAGCAATGCTTTCGGAATCTGATGCTGAAAAGAATGTATTTTTTGTGATGGTGAAACAGTTCCTTTTACATGAAAAATTAATGAGTGTTTTAAATTAAAGTAATTTTATTATATTGTATATGATGCTTTCTTCACAATAATAATAACTTTTTTTAAGGAATGAAATTATCGAAAGGCATAATGTGTCAGTATTATGTGACTGATTTAATCTATGAATTATCTAAAATTCTCTAGACATCTGTAGAGACAATAGTTTTATTTTTTTTTAAAGAAGGAAAGATGAAAAATGAGCAAAGGCCTTCGCCGGGAATCGAACCACGGACCTCTTAAATACCGGTTCAGGGTGCAGAACCACTACACCACGAAGGCACGGCATGAAGGTGGGAGAAATAACTTACATATTCCCCCTTTTAAAGGGCGACTGGGGTTTTTAGAGGACCCAATCGCCAAATCCCGAGTGAGAAGAATCATCATTCATCACCCTTTTAGTTCGGGCGCCACTGTAGAGACATTAGGTTTAATTTTTTTTTAAAGAAGGAAAGATGAAAAATGAGCAAACCGCCTTCGCTTAGAATCAAACCACGGACCTCTGGAATACCGGACCAGCGTGCAGAACCACTACACCACGAAGGCACGCAAGAAGGTGGGAGAAATACTATATACATCTCAAAATACTTTTAATTCTGAAAATAAACTTTTAACTAATTTGATTTTAAATTCATTTAATGTTAAACTACTATTAACTCTTAATAATGACAAGTATAACAGCAACTGTTAAGGTTATTTTTTATACTAAGAATCAGAGATTATAAATAAATAAAATAAAGTATGTTTAGATAGTTTATATATGACGTTTCGTGATCGAAAAAAAAAATCAATGTTTGTTCTTTTCTTTTTATACATTGAAAACAATACTAATCACAGTGCTAATAAAACTAAAAATGTTTAAACATATTGACCTATTTTGATTTACTAATAAAGATTTTCCTATTTTGTTTAACTAATAAAGCGTATCGTAAGCATGGACCTTATAAGAAATAGACTAACCCAAATGGGTTTTCTCCCTCGTCTGAGGCGTTTCCGGCTGTCACCTTGATCACATCCGGAGGAGTAGGAACGACTTGCAGAAATTTAACAGTGGTTGCCTATTGCAGCGTGTATAATTGTCAAGAAAAAGCTGGTTGTAGCGCTTCATTTCACAATTAGAATTTCTACATATTTTTATTTTTGAAATTGAGATTGATTTTTTTTAAACTTTAGCATATTTATCAAGCATAATTAACGTTCCAAATAATTATAAAGCTACTGCATGCTTTCAGGATATTTTTTTAGCTTTCCTTGCGTAAGGAAATTTGTAACTACTTCTTTTAGAAAATAATATTTTAAATCTGAGCTAATAGAAAATTTCAAACAAGCAATTTTCTCTTGCAATTTTTTGCTTTTTATTGGTTTTTTGTGTAATAAGTAAAAAATACTAAAATATTTAGAAACGAATTTTTGAAAGTTTTGTTTAAATTCTAAATTGTGATGCTTTTTAAATTATAGATGGTATTATAGCACAATTTCTATAAAGGAATGTATTTATTTGAGGATATTTCATTTATACCTCACACTTTTGACTCCTTAAAAATTTTTATGCATTTAATTCTAATATTAAAATTGCATTTAACCGTAGTAATTAATTTTGCTTGAATTTTATAATGATTATTTTTTAAGTCATTTTTAGTTCTGCATAAGATTTTTTTTATTTACTGTTTATTTAATTTATTAGCCCAAAGGGGCGGTAGCCTAGAAAGGCTGTTAGATTCGAAGCGGCATTTTGCGCTGTTTTACTATAAATGTCCCTGTCTCCTTGCAAATTGTTGTTACCAAATATTATCGCCCTGTATTATATTTAAAAAAAATTAAATAATGAAGAATCTGCATGAATACATGTATGTTTCTCGCACTGTGACAAAAAGGACAGTATCTAGAGCCATCAAATTTTGAATAATGTAATCCTCCACCCGAACATGGGCATCTGGACGGCCGAATTTCGAATTTGTTTTAATCTATCTCATATTTTGTAAAACTTTAATGAATTTTTGATTAACAAACTCAACGAGTTCAGAGCGAGCACTGTACGGAAAATAACAGTTTTATCTCCACTGCGGTAAAGATATGCTGTTTTCAAATGTATGTGGTTTACGGGCGACGAACATGATATTCAATAAATATAGGTAACACACAAAACGTTAAAAAAAAAAGGTTCCTTTTGGGCGTAATATAAAATCTGAGTGCTTCTAGATTTTAATTTACCTTCTTTTTTTTCCCCTTCATTACACTCAGAAAATTTTGTGTTCCGAATTTTATAAATTTCTAAAATAAATATTCCACTTTAATGTTTAAGATGATACAATCAAATAAATGATTGTTTTTTTTTAATGTTATTATAG